TGGCCCAACACAACACCGCAACCCTGCCTCAGCCACCCTACAGTCCCGACGTTGCCCCACCAGACTTTTTCCTCTTCCCCCGCCTCAAAACCGCCCTGAAAGGATACCATCACGGCTCGGTGGAAGCGTTACAACAGGCCGTGACGAGGGAGCTCAACAGCATTCCGGCTGCCGCCTTCAGGGAAGCGTATGAGGGCTGGAAATCCCGCTGTGGTGTGTGAATGCAGAAGGGTCCTACTTTGAAGAATATTGAGCGCATATATTATTTCTGTCAATAAATATTTTGTAATTGACTCAGTCCGACTACTTTAAGGACAGACCATGTATTATCACTTAAAACAGTGAGTAGTCACTGATTTACAGTTATAAGTATGCCACTGCGATTTTCAGTGGTAGGTACAGAGGAAAGTCCTCTATTATGAGATAGGATATATGAGACAGTAGGTCTTCAGCGTCCAAATTCATTGACAAATCATTTTTCGCAACGATTACACGATCCAACAATCAATTTTCCAATAAACAGATTTCACTCCAAGGGCAATAAATTCATGGTGGAACCAACAGATGATGTCTATTAATTCAGCAGAAGCACCGCTGTCTCATACTAGGGGACTTTCCTCTACTTATACCTAACTGCAAACCAGTGACTATTCACTGTTTTCAGTGATAATCCACTGATCGACTTTTAGAGAGTACGTAAATGTATCGCGGCGTCACAGACATATCTTGGGTGAACTCGACGAGCGTACGAAGGCAGCGCCCGGGCGAATAATCCGACGCGCGTCTTGCGCGAATTCGTGTGCTCGGCGTAGCGGACGGATAGATAAACGCCGGTGGAAGACGACGAATTAATCGCGCGTCTACGACCGATAATAAAGCTATCAACCGGCGAAACATCCGACTGTCTCTCGCGCGCTCTAAAGGCGGACCGACCGGATTCTCTCTTTGCGGAGCAAACACTCGGGAGCAATCGCGTCTAACGACGACAACGATGGTTTAATACCGCCCTCCTATTTGTCCTCGTCGGCGGCAAATAGAAGAAGAAACGCACGCGCGCGCTTTAAATCCCTTTAAATCCCCGAAAAGTCCAAGATCCCCGGGGGCGGGAGGAGCGTTTATCGAGCACGTGTCCCCGTCGCCGCGGATTCTACAACCGACTGAGGAACTTTTATCCCCGTGCTACGAGGGTATCGAGGGATCTAGTAATTAACAATCGAAGTAATTAGCAATTGAGAGACTCCCAAACCTCAGATGAGACGATAAACGGCGCGCTAAAACGATACCTTTCAATTGAATTCGGGTAAACTTCGGGTAAAATTTATCTTGGAAATGTGTTAAGAGATTCGGGGGAGAAGAATTAAATTCTCCCCCTTTCGATATCTTCGCCGGGGAAGAGAATTTTAAATTGGTCCACGAGAGACTGAAGATCAAAAGAGTAACATCCGAGTGTTCTGGAACTTTACGCATAATGTTCCACGGAAACGGCTGAGATAGTATATTCAACGAGTCGCTTTCGCGTTTAAGCGTCGAATCGCTGCTTAACGTTCGCAGGAAATTCTCGGGCAATTCAGTATTATTGTTACGGCAGAAATATGCGTAATAGGCAAACTCACTCAACGCGAGCTGTTATCGAACATTGATGCAGGCGTGAACGAGATATTCGCGTAGTTGATAAAGGACGTTTCCCCACCACCGCCTGGCCACCAAGACCAAGACCATGGACCACGACAACGGCGTTTCTTAAATGAAAAATCGGAAATTCTATGTTCGCGTCGCAATATCTCCACTCATGGGGCACGTAGGAGAAAAATAAAAAAACACTTCTATTATGCAAAGCGAAAAAGCTGTCGATTGAGCCTATTTAGAAGTTCATCGGATGTTGACATCAGAAAATCTGAGGCAACTCGCGTACTCGCGTAAACTACACCAGTCGGTCTCGCGGTTCTAGTTGCGCTTATACTTTGCGCGAGACACCACCGTGTCTCGTGATAAACCGAGGGGGAAACCGCTGAAGGACATTGTGGTGTACAGATTTGTGGCATTACTGGGCATTTTTTGGGGACATTAGTTTGGGCATTAGGTCTTGCTGGGGCATTATAAAGATAAAATAAGATAAAGCAAGATAATAAGACAGAGTAATGTCCACTGGGCATTAGTGCACAAGATTTTGGTCAGCGGTTTCCCCCCCTCGTGATTTTCTAAACACACCTTCGAAATGCAACAAAACACGTGTCACGCTTCGATATCGAAAAGCTGTATCTTCCATCGTTATTTACAACCTCTTCCCTCTTAAACTTTCAATCTCCCGGCGCTAAGAGTCTCTCGTGCCGGAGGGAGCCGAAAATAAGTCAAGCTTCTCTTTTGTACCGCATCATTCATGGGACGACCCAATATTATATTCAAGTTTTGCGCGGCTGCGGGACGCAACGTTCGAGACAAGAGCCGAGGCTCGTCGGTGTCCGAAGGAGCAACAAACACGCGGCACTCCGTTTCTCGCTGCTCCGAGACCAGCACCTGCGACAGCCGTGAACTTGAGGGGGTCGTGCGTGCATGCGTACGTGCGTGAGTACGTCGCGGGAAACGCGGGAGCGGTCGTGAGAGATCGAAACGCCATGCTCTTCTTATACCTAAGGATGGCGAGCCACGAGCTAGAGGATCGTTCGAGTAGATGGACGGGCGCAAATCGCCGTATTGGGACCGTTTTGTGGACTCAGGGGCTCGATCGTGAATCTTTTCCTCCAACGTGAATTCGTGCAAGGTGACGAATAGCGAAATTCTTCAATAAAATTTTGCACTTTTCACGAGTCCACGCTACAAGTTCATGATCGAGGGGGGAAAATGAACGCTGACCAAAATCTTGTGCACTAATGCCCAGTGTGTGCATTACTTTATCTTATTATCTTATTTTATCTTATCTTATCTTTATATTGCCCCAGCAAGGCCTAATGTCCAAACTATGCCCAAAAATGCCTAGTAATGCCCAGCAATGCCGCAAATCTGTACACCACAATGCCCTCGGCACACGGAAAGAAAAATGTAGTTGCCGTAGCTAAAAACTGTGGCAACTAAATTTCAGTTGTAAAATATGGACAGCTAATATTTAGTTGTGACACACTGAAAAAATTTCTGGTTGAATATGGACGAATCAGATAATTCCTTTAGGATTTACCAGAATTTCTGTAGGATTACAGGAATTCTGGTAAATCCTAAAGGAATTCTGGTAAATCCTAAAGGAATTATCTGATTCGTCCATATTCAACCAGAAATTTTTTTCAGTGCAGCTAAATATCTTGCTACTGTGCCTATTGTATTAGATGCGACAGCAAACCGTTTGCTGTGGTTTAGAAGTTTATAGTTATGGCAGCAAAATATTTCAAGCAAACCATGATTAGCTATGGTAGCGAAATTGTTCTTTTCAGTGCAGTTTCCCCGCTTGTACATGATCGAGCCCCAGATGACATTTCTAACGTAAGAATACGGTTAAAAATCACAGAGAAATTATACAAAAATCATACTTTAGTTATACTAACGTGCCGGTGTACACTTTTTCACTCGGATGAGCCGCGAGCGGGATCGCCCTCACATTGATAAAAAAAACACGCTTAATCCACACCAATATTACTTTACTCAAGAAAATGATTCATTAGGTGGCTCCTAATAGCTTATTAACTTGAATTTAAAAAGTAACAAACAAATTGGAACCTGTATTTCTTTAAGTATCAAAGAGTGAATAATTGTAAATTTAAAAAATTTCACTTTAATTCTACAAAATGTTTACCAAGATGTAATTTTCACAGCGAAGAAACTTGGATTTCTTATTTAACAAAAATTATTATTTCATTTAAAAACTAGCTGCCTATATCTCATGAAATCTCTATTTGAATGTAGAAAATGTAATGATTTAAATGAATTTACTTAATACATAAAATTACTTGAAATTTGATATTTTAACTTAAATAGAA